ATTCTGCGTTCTGTGCATTTTGGCTCTTCTTCATATGGTGTTGGAGCAGAGAGAGATGCTCAGGTATTGGGCAGTGCTTCCTGCACTTCAGTGTCCCCACCTTTGTGAGCCCCAGCCTCTGGCTAACCCTCAAGCCCGCTGCCTACACTGTCTGTCACCTTTCAGAGTCCCCCAGGCAACCGCTCTGCAGCCTGTCTGAGCGCTCTGCACCTGCAGAGAGGAGCTCTCCTTGCCCTCTGGGCGGCTCAGCGCTGCTGTGTGCTGCTGCAGGTACTGCTCTCCTCCATCGGTCGGGATTAGCGCTGTGCTCCCGTCTGTGTCCCTGCCTGCCAGGAGCAGGGCACTCTGCCTCTGGGCCTCTCTCTGTGAGGGACAGCAACGTCCTGGTTGCTTCTCCACCCGACAGCTTCCCCTGAAACTATCCACCGGTAGTTCCCCCTGGAAGAGGTATTCAAGGCAAAACTCCTGTGGGTGTTTTGCTGGCATCCCCTCACTCCAAATTCTCCCAGACCCCTCTTAGGATGTGAATTCCCAGTTTGCCAGCAGCCCAGTTTGGACTGCTTGCCCCTAAAGCTGCAGTTGGTGTTGTTTTCCTTGTCTCTGTCTTTCTGGAAGAAGGGGTGCTAGTGGAGAGGTTTCAGGCTGATGCTCCTTGCTGGCTTTGATCTCTTGTGGGGAGCAGGAGCTGACACCACTGTTTGTCATCCTGCACAAGGAAAGGGGTGTATGTGGGCCATTTCTGGCTAGAACTGGGCTAGACAGGGATGGTAAAGAAGCAGGCAGGAAGTTAGAGGTGGAATCTGGCTCTGTCCTGCAGATGTGCTAAGGGAGATCCTGGGAGAGAGAAGGGATGGTGCTGGGGTGGCCCTGGGCTGTGGGGGTGCCGTGTTGAGCATCACAAGGGGAATGGGAAGAGCTTTCTTCAGCACCTGCTGTGCTCTCTCTGGTCCCTGCTGTACAGAGAGGCACAGACCCCTCCCAGAGCCTCACAGTCCCTCACCTGCTGCTCCTTCCATCTCAAATCCTCTCCTGATCTGCTTCCTGTCTTATCTCAGTCTAGGCTGCTCCAGGAGCTGCCTCCACACTCCCCAGCTGCCAGGAGGTTCTGTGTGGGGTGAAGGAGGTGGGCAAAGTTTGAGACCAAGCCTGGACCCCAGCCAGGCTGGAGCAGATGCCTCTGTGTCGTGGTTCCCCTCTCAGCTCCTGCTTCTTGGTGTTGTAGCCCTGTGGCTGCACGTTGGTACCCTCAGCTTTGTGGGGAAGGGGATGGGAGGGCTGCAGCTCACATTTCTGCTGCTAATGCTTCATCTGCAGCGTTTAACATCCCTGATGAACATGAACATGAGCTCTTCTCTGAAGGAAAACCCTTCTGTATCTGACCAGCCTAAGCATGGTCCCAGTCCTGCAGACCACGGCAATGGAGCAGTGGGGCAGCAGGACAAGATCTGATGGGACCATGCTGGTAAGCCTCTTCCAGGGATCACAGCCCAATGGCTGCTTGGTGTGCTGGGGGCACAGCAGGTCCCCAAGCCTTTCTGCCACAAGGGGCTTTCCTCCACCATCCCCACAGCAGTTTGGCCTGAGGCCCAGCTGGTCTCAGGAGCACAGGACTGGAGTTTCTCTTCTCCCCAGGAGAGCCAGACAAGCCATTTAGCCTTGTGCCAGGGGATGGAGGGGACCCTCACCCTGTGGACCAGGGGGCTTATCTCAGATGGCCTGTGAAGGAGCTGACAGGCAGGCAGAATTCCCTTGTTCTGCCTGGCATGGGCGAGAGCATATCCAAAAAGGTTTTTTTACCTAAAAACAAAAGGGGGTGGAGGTGTCACTCTTGATGCAAACACAGGTGTGTGCGGGGCTCTGTGTGTGTGCAGGTTGGGAAGCACCAAGGGAAGAAGGCAAATGCCTCTGTGCAGGCCCACATCTTCCCTGCAAGGAGCAGATTGTGGCCATGATCCAAGGCAGCAGCAGAGGTGGGGTGAGCCCAGCTGCCTGTGCCTGGCTGCTGTCACCGACCTGCTCGTTCCTTTTCCCTTCCCAAAGGTGGGGTGGGATGGGGGCTGTGGAGGCTCTGGCTGTAGGCCTGCGAATGGCTGACAGGAGCATCGTCTGTCATCCCCTGTCAGGCAAAGTGTGGCCACCCCTGCGTGATCCCACACTGGCTTGATTTTACAGCCATGACTGGCACTTGAGCCTGTTTGCTGAGGGCAGGGGGCACACGGGACTGTCAGCTTGCAGCTGCCTCTGACCCTGTACAGGACACCATAAATCTCCCAATTTAAGGCAGTCTGGGCTGTTCTGGAAATGGTGCTATTGAGTAGACTGTGGTGTGCAGGATAACATGTGCCTGCCTGCCTGATCCCGTGCCAACCAGGGATAAAGTAGAGGTGGCCACGGCTGAAGGAGAGCAGCATCTGGGAAATAGACTGAATTCCTTGATTTTTTAATATATAAAAAAGTACAGATTGCCTGAATTTAGAGCATCAGGAGTGTCTGGTGTTTCCTGCTCTGGTTTTGCCTGGTTTTCCTTAGGCAGTGCAGAGAGGTGAATAGGAGGAACCACCTCACCTGTGCTGTGGTACATCAGCTGTTCACACAGCTCAGCCTGGAGGGTTTTTCTCCTGACCATGTGCTGTACTGATGAGCTGAGTGTGTGAATGTGCTGTGCCCTTGGAAACCAGCTCCTGCTTCTGCTGAGCACCTTCAGTGCCTGTCCTGCCTGCTCCTAAATGCTTTCAGTTAAATGTAGGTTTGGCCCAAGACTTCTTCCTACACATAGGAAACCCCCTTAGAAACATCTTTTTGCACCAAAAAAAAAAGGGAAGGAAAATGAACAACGAACCGAATTTTGGGGTAATTTTGGCCAGCACAAGGTAGTTGCTCATCCTGTGCTGTACTGGGTTTGTTAATACTGATGCAGGGACTATTTTGTCCTTGGGCCCTGTGGGGTCAGCCCAGTGATGGGGCAGTGCCCAGGCTCCCCTGCCTGCCTGCAGCACCCCTCAGCAGTGAGGATGCTGAGCAAGATCGGGTGAGAACCCTGGGGGATCCATCCCCAGAAGTGACAGTAGGCAGAGTTTTGGGGAGACGCACTGTGTGGTGGGGAGAGATGTTGGTGCACTTGTATCTAGGGCTGTTGGGCGCCTGAGCAAGGGGAAAAGTGCACAGGCTGTGTGTCAGTGTGCATGTGTGAGAGAGAACTGTGGCTGCAGCTGGTGTGATTGTGTGTGAAGCAGAGGGCTGTATTTTGTGGGTAGGGGTAAGCAAAGCAAAGCGTGGATAGCTGTGCTGGGGGTGCAGAGTGTGAGGGGTGCGAGTGAGAAGGAGGGCACCTCAGGGGAAAGGCTGCACGCATGTACCAGCTGTGTGTGTGAAAGGCACTGTGTGCAGCCTGTGCGTGTGCCTGAGTGGCTGTGCGTGTGCAGGAGGGCTGCACAGGCGTGTGTGGGGCTGTGTGTGTGTGTGCAGGGGGCTGTGTGTGTGTGTGCAGGGCTCTGTGTGTGTGTGCGGGGCTGTGTGTGTCTGTGTGTGTGCGGGGCTGTGTGTGTGTGTGCAGGGCTCTGTGTGTGTGTGCGGGGCTCTGTGTGTGTCTGTGTGTGTGTGCAGGGCTGTGTGTGTATGTGGGGCTGTGTGTGTGTGTGTGTGCGTGTGTGTGGGGCTCTGTGTGCGTGTATGTGGGGCTGTGTGTGTGTGTGTGTGTGGGGCTGTGTGTGTGTGTGTGTGTGGGGCTGTGTGTGTGTATGTGTGTGGGGCTGTGTGTGTGTGCGGGGCTCTGTGTGTGCGGGCGGGCCGTGCACGCGTGTGTGTGAGTGTGGCTGTGCTTGTGCGGCGGGGCAGCCGCCGCGCTGTCACTCAGGGGCGGCTGACAGGAGCTGCCTCTCCAGCGGCGGCAGATAGCGCTGATTGCTGATTCGAGGAAGCAAAATAGCAATTGTAATTATGGGCTCTGATAAGATAAAGGAGGGCGCGGGGAGCGCGGGGACCGGCAGCGGGGCACGGCCGGCAAATTAGCAGCTGTCACTCAGCGCCGAGCAGGCGGCGCCGGCCCCGGCCCCGGCCAGGTACCGGCCCCGGGGGCCGCCCGCCGCAGCCCCGCCGCAGCCCCCGCCCCGGTGCGCAACAGGTGGCGGGGCCGGGAGGGCCGGGGCTCGCCGGAACAATGCAGCCCTCGGCGGCCCTGCCCGGGCTGCGGGGCTGAGCCCTGTCCCGCCGCCGCCCGGCCCCATGGCCCCGCAGCGCCGGCCCTGAGGGCGCCCGCCCGCTCTGCAAGGTAAGCGCCCGGCGGGGATGCTCGCGGAGAAATCGGGGGTGTCCCGCTCCCCAGCCCGGTTGCGGAATTTGCTCAGCCTCACTCCTTCTCGAAACTCCGGCCCCCTCCATCCCCCTCCTCCGGTAATCCTTTTAATGTCTGGCACGTCCCGGGAGGGCTCGCCCGCCCGCTCCCAATCCACAACGCGCCCGCGGAGCGGCGAACCCCCAGCGGGGGGAACCGCGTCCCCGACCCACCCTCCGAGCCCTTAAACCCCGTTTTACGGATGGGGAAACTGAGGCACGGGCTGGGGAGGGAGTCCCGCCGACCACTGGCCGCGGAGCCCGGCCCTTAGTGGCAGCCCCAAGCCCCGGCGACACCTGGCCCGCCGCTGGCTTCGCTTCGGCAGGTACCGCCGGAACCGGGAGGGAAGCCGGGGTCCGGCCGGGCTTCCCCTGTGGCGGCTGCCGCCCCCCGGCCGCGCCCGCCCCCGCCGTCGGGGCTGCGGGTCGGCTTCGCCTCCCGCGGCGGCAGCGGGGCCGCGGGGCGGGGGTCTCCCCGCGGCAGGGAGCGCCCCGGGGGCTGACCGGGCGGAGGGGCCGCCGGGCCTTTCCCCTCTGTAGCCGCTTGTGCCCTCCTTTCTTTGGGGCGAGGACGTGCCGGCAGGGCGAGAGGAACCGAGGAGCTGAGACAGCGCCGCGCCCCCCGGGCGCTCCCGCCGCCGCCGGGCCCCCGGCCCCGCACCGGCGCCGCGATGGACCCCTGCTCTTCGCTCTTCAGCTACGTGTGAGTAGCGGCAGCCACAGCCCTCCCGCCCCGCGCCCGCAGCCCCCCCGGCTCACACCTCTCTCCGCTTTTCCCCCTCCCAGGTTAATGCACTTGTTCGTCCTCTGCCTGCAAGCCCAGGTAAGTGCCCGCTGGGCTGCCCGGCTTTGTTCGCCCCGCGGGGATGGGGGGTGCCCCGCCGCCGAGCGCCTGGGCAGGGAGGGAGACAGGGAAGAGGAGCAGTTTGAAACCCAGGAGACAAAAGTTTCCTGGTTGTAAAAAGCCGGAGCCGAGGGAGACCCCACCTTTCCCGGGACGCAAAATAAAGTGCGGGGGACTCCGGCTGCGAGGCAGAGAGTACCGAGATTTCAAGGAGATACGCAGGGTTATCTTAAAGCAGCTTTAATTCCTCTCTCCGCGACCTCTAATTACACTGTGGATACCCCTGTCCCTCTGCTCCGTTTTTTTTTTTCCCTATATTGCTTCATCCAAAGAAAAAAAAAAAAAAAAAGCAGAATTAAAAAAAGGAAAGAAAACCCTGCAAAAGCCCTTAGTAAAAAGCGCAGCTTCTGATTCAGCTTAAAAGTGTCAGACTTTAGCATCGCTGGTTTGTATCGGCAGAGACAGAAGTGACATGAATAGATTAAACGTCCCGGGCAGAGCTTGTGCAACACCCGCATACCAGCAGGCACGCGTCGCTGGGAGCGGTGCGCCTCCAAACCGGGGTGAAGCCCCCTTTCCCCCTGAGGTTACAGGTGCAGAAGCTTTGTTTAAAATGCCCTTTAAGCTACTTTTAAAAATTATTGTTATTTTCCTGGAAGCTTGGGGGGGAAAAAATGGAGTTTCCAGCTGAAAAGTGAAGGGAGCAGAGCACTGGGATTGTGCAGTTGTATAAAAACATAGCTGTAATATTTTGGAGTATGAAATGGAGACCAAATAGCAGCATGGCTAATGACCTCTCCTCCACATGGTACCCTCATCAGAGCTGGGGAGAGAATCCTGCTGCATTATCCAAAACCCTTCTATAGGAAACACACATGCACAGGCAGAAGCAGAGGGAGAGAGATGACATTGTCAAGGGGAGATATCTCTATAAAGCTGGCTTTGGGAGAGCAGCGGCTTTTGCTTTTATTGTGGTTTTCTGTTGTTGTTTAAGACAGGAGGAAATCTTCCCATTTGACGTGGGGGTGGTGGGGGGTAGCCCCAGCCTTCTGATGTTGAAAGGAGCGATCTCCTAACATTTGCTCAGAATACATCTTTATAAATGTCAGGGAGCAGCGAAACTTTCCAGACTTAAAAGAGGGATTTGAGACGAGGGGGGAAAAAGACTTCTGTGCCAGCTCGCGAGCCGGGGCTGAGGGGGGAGCAGGTTTGGCCGCTCGTGAAAATCATTTAAAGCCCAGGAGCAGCAGTGTCGGGTCTGGAGAGGATGGGCTCAGCTGCAGCTCAGGGACTAAAGGGCTTGGTGTGCTGGGGCTAGGGATGACCCCGTGCTGGCAGCAAACAGCTGAGAGGGGATGAGAGCTGTGTTTGCACGGGTAGCATGTTGATATCCTTGGGTTGTTATACCTCTAAATACCTGTGCTGGGGTATGGTTTTCTTGTAATTCCTATGCCTCATAGTTCCACCATCTCTGTGAACTTTGTTTTTGAAGAGCTTAATAAGTGGGGTACTTGGGAGCAAATAGAGAGCCTGAGACCCAGAGGACAGGCAGCTGTTGAAACTGTTGGGGTGTGTGCCCAGGGCAGCTGGAGCAGTAGTGTGCTCCTGCAGAGGTGAGAGAGGTGTGGGATGAAAGCATCAGCTCTTTGAGAGGACAACATAGCGCTGTCCTGTGTGTCCCACCTTGCTCCCCTCCTTGGATCCCATCAAGCTCCCAGCCTTGATGCCCATCTCAAGGTACCCCAGTCCCAGTCAGGACCCATTTGAGTCCTGGAGGGGCCTCTGGGGTCACCAAGCCCTGTTCTACTCCCGAGCTACCAGCACCAGCATAGGGCATGTCTGGAGAGGGCTCTTGTCACTGTGGCCCCGAGCTTAGTGCTCCTTCTCCTGGAGAGACTTTGATGGCACAGAGAGGCACCGCCGCGGTCCTGGCTCCTGGCCTCCCATAAAGCCCAGCTGGAGGCCAGCGATCTCAGCTCAGCCCGCTTGCCCCGCTGAGGAGTAGAGATTATAATGGTGTGTTGTATATTTTTTAATTTCCTAAAGGTAACTGTTCAGTCCCCACCTAATTTTACACAGCATGTGAGGGAGCAGAGCCTGGTGACAGATCAGCTCAGCCGGCGGCTTGTCCGTACCTACCAGCTGTACAGCCGGACCAGCGGGAAACATGTGCAGATCTTGGACAACAAGAAAATCAATGCGATGGCAGAGGATGGGGATGTGCACGGTAAGGACACGCGATGGGGGGAGCTGGGGAGGTGTTCTCAGCCCAGCGTGGCGATTGATGATTTCCGTCCTGTTTGTTAGCCAGAAATCGTTAAAATCGTTCGGCTTGTGGGGGCTTGTAAAAGGAGAACATAGGGGTCAGTAATCAGCAGCTGTGTGATTCAAGGTGAGGGCAGGTTCCCTGTGCCAAGGGAGGGGACCAGTTCTTGAAGGATAGGCTCTGCTTCTTTCCTTTTAATTCTTGGTTTGCACCTGACTCAGAGGGCTTGGGGCTATAGCATCCTGAGCATCATAAGATGTTTTATCCCAGCTCTTTGCAGAGATGGGATTCCCTGGGACTTTCTTTTGAAACAGAAATGTAAGGTAAATTGGAAAAAGCAGAGGCAGGGTGGAGAAAGGGAATGACTACTTTGGAAGCCTTCCTTCATCTAGGACAGTCTAAAGTGGCATTTTCCTGTCCCATCCCTTCCTTCTCAAAACAAATCATGGGGAAAGGGTCAGCGAGGCAGTCAGCTGCAGGCAAAGATGCTGCGGTGTCTCCAGAGACAAAGCAGGGACTCTGCAAGCATGAGAGCCTGTGCTCTGCCACGGCCCCTCTGTATCACCCTGGCACTCCCTCCCTAAAACCTCCACCCTCTCTGGGGCAAGGGAACCGGTCCCTCTGCTGGGGACTCTCGAAGCCCAGATACTTTGATCGTGTGAGCTCCTGACGTGTTGGGATGGTCGGATGCAGTGCCGGGGTCAGTGAGTGGGGGCCGGCTGCGGGAGGCCTGGTCCTGCACCCGGGGCAGGGAAGTGCCTGTGCTCCTGCGTGCTGCTCACAGCCAATCCTCTTTGGTATTAGCTGCATTTTCCCTTTCTTCCTTGGCTAGATTAGTAGAAATATTTTTTTTTTTCTTTGCCTTACTGGTTTTTGGGGGCTATTTCTTCATTTTGCTTTGGCTGAAAATTTCATGCTGGACATTATCAGTGCAAGCACAGTGATGTTCCATACATCCAGAATTAATCTTGCAAATGAATTATTCCCATCCTGCAGCAGCTCTAACTTGAAAGGGCAGTAGCTAATTTCCGAGGCAAAAAAAAAAGAAAGTCCCATCTTGTTTTAGACCTCTAATGCCTGGATTTTAAAAAACAGTTAGTGCATATTTAAATAACAACCAGGTTTAAATACGGCCAGAAGGAGGGGACTGGTGGTGGCTTGAAAAACTCTATTAAAATGTAATAAAAAAAGGTTAAGCATTTGAAGAGCTAAGGAGGAAAATGAAGACTGATCTAAACCAGAAAGAGAACAAGCAGTTTTTCAGATGTAAAGTTTTAAAAGAGTTGCAAGTCTGTAAATGTTAAAATAGAGGTTCAGGATTGTTCTGTATGAATCTCTAGGGAGGCCCCCATGTCTGGAAGAACTATTAAAACGCTTCTTACTTTCACCTTTTTTAACATTTCCTGAATACTTTCTCCTCTTCGCAGTCCAGTTGGGGGATCAAGTGTGTCTCGCTGCATTTTTTCAGCATTTACGTAGCCACTTTCCCTTCAAAGTTTGAGCATGAAACATAATTTTACTGGGATAAATCTGTCACTTAAATGAAAGAATAGAGTTGAAAACGTTAAGCCTCCCCCCTTCCCCAAAAGAGGAAGGGAAAAAAAAAAAAAGGAATCCCCCCAAATGTTATTTAGAAATCCACTTTTGTAGCAAAGATTCCTCCTCCCCAAGCCCTTCTTTCTGCTTTTTCTTTCTTTTTTTTTAGTCTCATTTTTGGGGGTGGGCGTGTATAAGGGGTTGATTTATTTTTGCAGATGACCCCTTTCCCCACGCTGACATTTTTACAGCCGACTTAACATCGAGTCCGGTGTTTTCAGTTATTTGTCTTAATTGTCAATATTTGATTGACTTTTTTTAATTCTAAGGGAAGGCAGGAGGCTGGTGCAGCCCAGCTCGTCCCTCCCAGGCTATGCTTGCCACCAAGAAAACCACTGCCAGCTGCAGCTTGGACTCAACCCCACGAGTGGCTGGAGACACCAGCACAGCTCTCTGCCCACTCGCCGGTTTTTGTCTGTGCCCAGGGTTTTCTGTGGGTTTGGGCTGGAGTTTGCAGGGTTCACAGGTTGCCTGCAAGGGTCTAGGGGTGCAAGTCCCTGGGGCCAGGTTGTCTTCATCCTCTGTGGATAAGGGGTCTGGAGTGACACATGGGCTGGGCTCGTGCAGGCCAGCAAACCCGTCTGGTGGCTGTAAATCACAGCTGCCCTTTGGGGAAAAAAAAAAAAGAGAAAAGTCCAAAAGAGAAGCAATGTGCATCTTTAAAGCAGGGTTTTGTGCTCACTGGGGCCAAGGCCTCCCCACTCCCTCCCTCTATCCCTCTTCATGCCTCCCTTCCTCCCTCCCTCCCAGCTCTCTCTATCTCTCAGAGAGAAAAATCAATTCTCCTCAAACCTTTTACTGCCTCCAAGATCAATTCCACCCCTTTCCCCAATATAGATAAATAGGGGGTCACTGTCTCAGTGCTTTGTTTGCAGAGTGCCATCGCTCCCGTGGGTGGTTTTGGGGATGCTAGGTGCTTGTCAGGCTCTGGGCATTGATCAGCACAGCCTGGAGTTCACTCTTCCCAAATTTCTTGTCTCTGAGTTCAATCTGTGCCTGCCTAGGAGTAGGGGGATGTGAGTGCATGGTAGCCTAGGGACAAGAGATGCTGCAGGGTGATATTGACAGGAGGGGGTGCAGGGAGGGGGTGCCTGCATGCCCATCAAGATTGGCTGGTCTAACAGCACCAAATCAGTTGGCCCCAGCAAATTTGGGGATGACCTTTCCATTGGTCAACTCAGCAGCTGCCACTACTGCCTGCTTGCTGTCCCCACCCTTGGTGCCATTGACCTCGGCAGTAGCATCTGTCATAAGATTCAGAGTTGAGGCACTGCAGAGACAGAAAGGCATTTGCCCCTAGCCCAGGGTGTGATTTAGGCTCAGTTTAACTTGTGTGTGCACCTACAGCCTCCTTCTGCCATTCAAAGCATCCTCCTGCAGAGCCTTCCATCCCAGAGCCACATCACTGCCCTCACTGGGGCTCGCTGGAGGCTGAGCATCCTGGGGTAGAGATGTGCAAGCTGCAGTGAGCTGCAGTCCTGAGAAACTGAGCAGCCCTTGTGCAGGAATCAGAGAGGATAAATAAGGCATCCACGGACTTAAAACCCATAATAAGAATGTAGGCTTGGAACCTTTGTGGCCTGTCCTCTAATTGCCTTGCTGGATAGCATTTACAGTACTGTGGGCTGATGCTGGACAAGAGGTGGTGGGACAGTCACAGCTGGCTTTTCAGCATCATGGGGGATTCTTTGGTGCTTGGCACAGCACAGACCTTTTGAGGTGCAAACAGGTAGCCACCATTCCCAGTGGGGCTTGCTCTGGGGACAGCAGCTGCAGGAGCGGGAAGAAGGATGTCCTGTCCCCATCCTCCCCCTTCCCTGGGAATGGATGGGCTTTGGGGCTTGGGTTCCCAGGGTGAAGGCAGGGAGGGAAGGTGACAGGTCTATTTATAGGCGGCCCATCGACCCAGCAATTTGCATAGCTCCTTCGGAAGTGGATCGATGCCTCCATTAAAAAACTGAGACCAAATCAATACGCCCTCTCGACTCGTGCAAAGGTGAAAGGCATTAAAAGGGTGCCTGTACCTTTCACGCCTCCCCTGCCAGCTGCAAAGTCACTGCTCCTCCTGCAGCCCTGGCCTGGCAGAGGGACACGGGGCGGTGTCCCCTGGGCTGGGGACAGCTGGCAGCACACTGTGCACTTCCAGAAGGTGCTGTCTGACTCTTGCCCACAGGCACACCTGGACTTGCCTCAGTTTGCAGGCAGCTGCCTTGTTCTCTGCCAACCAGTGTGTGCCCTGCTCACTGCCCTGCATCCATCTGGGACACCTCTGTGACACCTGAACCACTGAGGCCTGTGGAGCTGGGTAAAACAGAGCTACTCCCCGTCCAGCACAGCTCAAGGGGCAGAGGGACACGTCCAAGGTCATGCAGGGACACAGGGGCAAGTTAAGGGCGTGGGGGGACAGGCTGTATCTTAACCTCATGTGCTGATTTTAGGGCTCTCTGGCCCAGTTGCCAGAGATCACATACCTGCAGTGCCCAGCATCTGGCTGCATTGCTGGGGCCTCCTTACCTGTGCCAGCCCATCCCACAGCCCCTCTGACCTCCCTCCCTCTCTCCCCAGCCAAGCTCATCGTGGAGACAGACACCTTTGGGAGCCGCGTGCGTATCAAGGGGGCAGCCACGGGTTTCTACATCTGCATGAACAAGAAGGGGAAGCTGATTGGCAAGGTAGGGTGCGAGGGTATGGGCAGGGCAGGGAACTGCCGGGGACACGAGTGGGGACTGCCTGGAGAGGAGCTCTGCTTTTGGGGGCAGGGGAAAAGCCATCCTGCAGCCCGAGGGGGAGCCAGAGAGGTGGGCGGGTGCCGTGTGGGGCACATTCCTTCTATCTCTCGGAACAAATAGGCGGATTGCTGCTCTATTCTCCACGATTACATGGTACAAGTGCCAGGAATGTTAAGATGCTCCATGGGGCTGGCCCCAAGGCCAGACCTCACCACCTGCTGGTTTGTCATGCAGCTTCTGTGCCTTGATGCCCCTTCCCATGGTGGGGGGGGGGGGCTGGACATGCAAAATCCCTCCAGACCAGTGATTATCTGCAAGGATTTTCCACGGCAGCTGCTGCCTGGGAGCTGCCCCATGTGGGTCCCTCTCTAGTCCTGCTACTCCCCATCATGGGGGGAGCTCAGTTCCTGGCTACCCCCTGCTCCCCCACCATCTGTGGGCACTGTCACCATTGACCTCGTGTCACCCCTCCTGCCACTCGATGCTCCTTGACGTCCCTCTTCTATTAAAGACCCCAGGAGGACAGGCTGGGTGGGTGAATTGGGATGGAGAGTTTGCTTACGGTTACATCCAGGCACAGAGGGAGGCTAAAGTTCCCTTATGGATGTGGTGGAAGTTAAGGCTGGGATGTTCCTCCATGGATGTGGTGGAAGTTAAGGCTGGGACCAGCTGGACTGCTACAAAAGCAGCAGCAAGCAGTGTTTGTGTCACGATGCCTTCTCCCTGCAGCTTGTTAGGGAAAAGCACATTTTGGGCAATTCTGACTTGTGGGAGAAGTGAGCCTTTGGTTGCCCCCAAGTTCTGCAACCAGCAGTCAGCGCAGGGTGGGGCAGTGAGAAGCAGCCCTCTGAGAAAGTGCCTGTTGCTTAAATCTCTGCTCCTGTCCCCTTGTCAGAGCAACGGCAAAGGCAAGGACTGTGTCTTCACGGAGATCGTGCTGGAGAACAACTACACGGCGCTGCAGAACGCCAAGTACGAGGGCTGGTACATGGCCTTCACCCGCAAGGGCCGCCCCCGCAAGGGCTCCAAGACCCGGCAGCACCAGCGCGAGGTGCATTTCATGAAGAGGCTTCCCAAGGGCCACCAGACCACCGAGCCCCACAGACGCTTTGAGTTCCTCAACTACCCCTTCAACCGGAGAAGTAAAAGGACTAGAAACTCCAGAGCGGGCCCTTGATGTGCCTGCCCCGCCTCCTCCGCCTGCATCTCTCCTGGAGGATGCTCCTCTGAGCTTGGTGGACTATATGTAGAGACTTTCCCATATGGGTATTAAAGAAAACACAAAAACAAAAAAAAAAAGAAAGGGAGGGGGGAGGATAAAAAAAAAAAATTACCTGCTCTAGTTGTTGGTACTTTTTTGGGGTGTGTTTGGTTTTTACAAAAAAAAAAGAAAAAAAAGAGGAAAAAAAATGAGAGAGGCTCTATTTTTGTACTCCAGCTTTAAAAGTAATGAAACATTCAAAGACTGGTGAAGGGAGAAGAGCCCTTCACTTAGAAATGTTCTAGTCTGTTTGGGGTTGCGCTTTATTTTGTAATTTTTTTTTTTGTAGCTCTAGAGGGAAAGGAGTTAAAAAATCATGTTTAAAACAAACAAGCAAAAAACCATAGAAATCCAAATCTGGAAGCGATGTGCTACTTAAATGAACTGAACTAATGCTATGCTTGCTGGAGAAGATGGAGAAGCTGGAAAACTGCTGAGAGGAGGGGATTTATTTTGGAGGTGGTTGGAGGCCTCCTAGGTGGTTTTTGCAGCCTGGGCGATGTGGGGACACTGCCAGTGGGGGCTGACTGTGACACCTGGGGTGAGGACCACTGGGTGCTTTCTTTCCTTGGACGTGCCTACTTCTCCGGCTGAGCAAGGGGTTGCTGGAAGTCGCATCTTTCTGAGAATGCTGCTGGCTTCACAACTCTCAACTTAACTTTTTTTCTCAGGAGGGGACAGGGGTGATGGATTCCCCAGAGAAAGTCCTGAACTGACTTGGTACCTCTTACCCACGGGAGCATCTTTGGCATTTGGTTTGTTTTAAAGTACTAAGGTACAGCTGCTGTGGAGCGGGCTGATAACTGGTATTATTTTTTTCCCCATGTGGAAAATGTGAACTTCTCACCAAAAATTGATATTTTTTTTCTGTCTATATTTTTTTATGAGATGCAAGTTTTCATCCATAAAATTAAACTAAGTTTACAAATTATTGTGGAGCCGTTTCAGGCTGTTTTGTTGTGATATTCAGTATCTTGTCATAATAGTTGGTGCTTCCATTGCCAACCATCTCCTACAGGTTTCTGATCAGAAATACTGCCACCCTTGACCCCCCCAGGAAAGGAGGGGGGTTTCTTTCAAAATTTCTGTGTTGACAGAAGCCCAATTTTATATTTAGAAGAAAAAAAAAAAACAAACCAAAGGAAACATTTAATCTCCTGAGTGAACATCCTCAGCCAGCCCTGCTCTGCACATGCTGCCCTGGGACTGTGACTCTCTCCAAAGGGTTAAACCAATTATTCTTCACGGGGAGGGCAAACAAAGACACTGGATAGGAGCCAGAACCAGGGGTGACTTTTCATCCAATCTTTTTTGATTGTTTGAGGTTTTTCCTGTTTCCTTGAGGATTTTTGTTTTGTTTCAGCTGTGTACAAATTGAATATGAAATGATTGAAATATTTATTTAATATGTGCATTAAAAGTTTGTATTAGTCTAACTGAGCCTGATGCTTTCCAGGGAGGGGCTGGGGCTGGACAGGCATTGGAGAGGGATGACAGAGGATGGCAGTGAGGTGCAGGATGGGGCTGAGGCTGCTGTTGGTGCAATTTCCTTCCCAAGGGAACAGCACTGGAAAATGGGAGACTGCCCCAAGATTTTGGACCCAGATGAGTCTTGTGGAAATCGTGGTTTTCCTTGCAGCAGATTCCGGATTTAATGTGCAGATGCCACTTCTTGAGGTGTGGGGGCAAGGCCCACTGCAGGTTGAATGGGGACAGAGTAACGGAGCCTCGACCACTGCTTTCAAGGATGGGATGAAACTTTCCAAGAGAAAGCTGCTATTTGCTCCTCTTTTCCCAGAAGAGCTCGGGGGCTTTGCAAAATGGGCTTTGCATCCCCTCCTTGAGAGAATATTCAACTCTGCTGCAGTGCTGGGTCTTGCTTACAGGAGCTGATCAGGGATTCAGATATGGAGTGGTTCTAAGGTATGGAAGCATGCAAGAATAAAACTGTGGAATGTGTTAAACTGCCCAAGTGTGGCAGCCCTGCAAGGTGCATCTCAGCATCCCTGGTGCCAGCCCTGGGTTTGTTGCAATGCTCATGGGGTGCCTGTGACAGGCTGGGACTGGTCTGTGAGGCTGAGCCTTGCCCTGGCTGGCACAGCAGCCTGGGCTGAGCTGGCAGGATTTGTCAATAATTTCAAGGAGGGAAAAGAAGGGGCTGAGCACTTGGCCTTGCCCTGCACCTGAGTATCAGGGAGAGCAGGGATGTTGCTTGAGCCACAGGACAGCATGGATGGCTTTTGTCTGACTCTTCCAGGAGGGACCCAAGGGCTGCAGAAGCCTGAGGATGACAGTGGGGGCAGACTTTGTTGTGGTTTACAGACGGCAGGAATTAAAAGTGAATTGCTCCTGGTCTTTCCCCAGGCAGAGATGGTGTTTGATAGTCCTTAATGGTTGCTTTTCTTCCTTTAATTTGTCTAACTGCTTTTCCTAATGGCTTTGTGAACATGAGTGAATTGGTGCCAGGTGCCTGCTGCAGGTTCGGGTAACAGAGGCTCAGGACTGGCCCCATGTCTCCTGTCCTGTTACAAATGCCCCGGCTATAGTAGGGAAGGGCATGGTGTGGGTGCTCAGCCTCCATAAGGCTGTTCCCCACCCCTGCCATCCTGGGATGCAGCCAGCAGCCTGGGCTTCGAGGTGGATGTGGACACCCCTGTGTCCCCACACAGCTCTGTACCACACCAGCCCCCAAATCCTGCTCTCTGCTCTGCCACAGTGAAGGCACCCAGGCCTGGCCTTTGGGAAGGGATCCCCAGCTCACCTGGCCCATGGTTAGTCAGCCACTTCTCATCGAAGGGCTTTTGGGTGGCCATGGAGAACTACAGCTCGATTTGTTTATTGTTTGAATTTGTCTGACTTTAGCTCCTGGTCAACAAAGGTTGTTTCACCATTGCTCGGAAGATTAAAGACCCTAATTCTAGTAAGTTAATGAGTAAGTGAATTAATTAATGGTTCCTCATATCCTGTCTCTGCACTGATACCACTTCATCCTTGGTAAGTCTGGAGGAGCTCAGGCTCTACACAGGGTCCCCAGGGCTGGTGGCTTCCACCACCCATGCAGGGAGGTGGGGACAGTCCCCGGTGGCATCTGCTGTCCCTCCACAGTTACAGGGACTCTGGCTGCTATTTGAATGCATAGGGTCAATCATCAACCCAGGAATCTGGGACTTTTCCTTTTTCCTTCTTCATCAGCAGGTGTGTGAACCAAGCTGGAGAATCACAGCCCTCCAAGGGCCCTGGGGACTTCAGGGGGCTGAGAATGAGGCTGGATGCAGGAGAGGGCTGGGCAGGAGGGTTTGCTTTTGTTAACTCAGGCTGTTAGATGGGTGTTTTGGGCAGAAACCCCTGCTTTGAGCTAGCAGAGTCCTTGTGGTGGTGTTGCTAATGCCACCATTCCCAGTGTCACCCTGCAGCCCCCTCACTGCCACCAGCTGGCTGGAGGGAGGTGGCAGATGAAGCAGGAGAGGAGCCTTGCTGCTGTTGGAGCAGGGATGATGCCCCATCCTGAGCTCCAAGCAGTGGTGTCCCTGCTTGGACAGGGCTTCACCATGAGGACACAGTGACAAGGCTGCAGCTGAGCAAGGTTTGGGAGACTCCACCTTGCCAGAGCACAGGGAAGCCCATCTGGTCCAGCCAGCTAACACAGGGTAAGAAGTAAATGAGGGGTGAGCACACCAGGGCAGCATCAGGCAGGAGAAAGAGCTGTTTCCAGGTTAAATGCTGCTGTGGTTGCCCAGAGAAGCTGTGGGTGCTCCATCCCTGGCAGTGTTCAAGGCCAGGTTGGATGGGGCTTTGAGCAATCTGATCCAGTGGAAGGTGTCCCTGTCCATGGCAGGGCACTTGGAACTAGAAGACCCTTAAAGTCCCTTCCAATCAAAACCATTCTGTGATTCTATGGCAGAGAAATAAAGTAGCAGGCAGCAATAAATTGAAGTGGCAAGAAAAGGGGAATGTGCTGTCTGAGGAGGGGCTGCACCCCTGCTTGCTCAACCAAATCCCAAACCTTTTGGCACAAGCTGTCTCTGCTCCCACCCCTTCTCTGTTTACAACTTTTCCACGAGGTCTGCTTGGATATGGGTGCCCAGTGAGCAGGGTGGGCTGTAGGATGCTGTGGATGGCTGGGGCTGGCCCAGGCTCCCTTAGGCAGGCTTTAGCTTGGGAAGGACGACTGGGCTGTTTGTTTATTGCATCAGGCTCAGCTTTCAAACATTTCCCTGCCATCCCCCTCCCCCTCCTTTAATTAATTCTGGGTAAGAAGTTCTGGCTTTATTGTGCCACCGAACTGAGGGCTCCCTGTGGGAAAAGTCACACCTTCTGAACAGCTTCTGATACCATGCAAATGAAGGACAAGTCCAGGAAACGCTTTCATCTCAGACCTGTCCAGCCCCCTGCCCATTAATTACACACATTTCATTTGTGTGAGAGCAATTCCTCTCAGGGAGGGGGTGGGGGGTGGCTGCAGCTTGTGGATCATCTCAGCCCCCCTCTCTAAAGACTCCTCCTTGGAAGGGATTTATAGCCAGAAAGGGGGATGCTCAGGGACTCTGTGGGGATCTCATATTTTGGCCCCTCCAAACCACACTGGCTGTTGGTGGGCTGCATCCTGCCAGCAGAGAGGGCTCAGCACTGCTCTGTGCCCTGCTCCATACCAGCAAGGCCTGGATGAGGAACCAAGTGGAGCATCCTGGAGGGAGACTCAAGTGGAGCAGAAATGAGCTCAGTGCTGTCGCAAGGGAATGGCCCTCCAGGGCCAGGAGCTCATGAGATAGATTCCTTTGGGCAGGGTGGCCACAAAATGAGTCTCACATGTGGAAACCTCCTTCTGTGCTGCTACAGCACTGAACATGTGTTGAGGGACAGCACCATACTCTGACAGGGCACAAAATCTCCTTGGCCACAGGAGGACCTGACCTGATGCTCCTTTTGAGCCTTGGTCCCTCTCTGCTCCTCTCCTCTCCTTCCCACACAGGCTGTCTGACCACAGGGTGCAGCCAAAGGCACCTCCAGGCTGGTTCCTCTTTTCCTGAGTCTGATGGGGAGTCTCAGGTCCAGACCCAGGAGAAGATGCAGAGAGGGGGGATGTGGAGTACAGTTGTTTTTCACAGCCAGTTTCCTGGCCAC